TTTCCAACTCCTTGCAGTTGTGAACTGTGCTGCAATGAACATTGGAGCACAGATGTAAATCATGAAAAAAATTTGAGCAAGAGAATGATTTGACATAGTCAACATTGAAAACCGAATGTTATAATTAGGTGCTATTAAATAGGTTCCGATTCATAGCAACCCCATGTACAACAAAAAGAAACCCCCCTGGTCCTCACAGTTGTTGCTATAGGTGAGTTGATTTTTGCAGCCACTGCGTCAATCCATCTCTTTGATGGTCTTCCTCTTTTTCACCGGCCCTCTCTGCTTTATCAAGCATGATGACCTTCTCCAGAGACTAGTTCCTCCTGACAATATATCTAAAGTAAGTGAGACAAAGTCTCACTGTCCTCACTTCTAAAGTGGCTGTACTTCTTCCAAGACAGTTCTGTTTGTTCTTCTGTAGGCCATGGCACTGGGATAGTCTTCCCCAATACCATAATGCAAATGTTTCGCTTCTTCTCTGGTCTTCCTTCTTCACTGTCCAGTTTCCCCATGCATCTGAGACAATTGAAAATGCCATGGCCGGGCCAGGCTCATCCTAGCTCTCAAAGCAACATCTCTGCTCTTTTAATACTTGAAAGAGACCTTTTGCAGCAGATTCGCCCAAACACAACACACTGCTTGGTTTCTTGCCTGCTGCTTGTAGGCATTGCTTTGAGCAGAATAACTTGTTCAGTAAATATGCAGGAAGAATTCATGAGGAGCATTTTTCCATTTAGGAATTTTTTCCTAAATTTTCCATGTTAGGTATATTTCCATTTCTAAGCCTGAGAAGATAGTGGTTTGTTCTAAGGAAGTATCAGTCAGCAGAAGAGAAACAGTGTCAAAGATGTCTTGGAAAAAAGAAGAGAGTCAGATGATCGAAGGCCCTGAGTGGAGCAGATGGCTCATATGCTTGGCTGCTAACGAAAGATTGGAGTTGTAAGTCCACCCACAGGTGCCGCGGAAGAAAAGCCCGATGAGCTGCTCACAACACAATCAGCCACTGAAAACCCTGTGGAGCACAGTGCTGCCCTAACACACACGTAATTGTATTGAGTTCAATCGCTGGTTAGGGTAGCTGGTCAGTGCTGATTAATGGTTGTGGAGAAGCTAATGGAAAATAGAAAAATAAAAAGGCTCCAAAGATTTCTCCAGGGTGTTACACTTGGTGAATTGTGGAACCTTTGGACTCAGTAAGGCAGTCAGGAGGAGGAGCCAGCTCTGTAGAACAGATGGTCCCTGTTTAGATCTGTACAATTTGGTATTGCTCTGGCACATTTTTCACCTTGCAAGGACAATGAAATGCCTCCAGTGTTACCTGGCTTAGCGCTGCCGTAATTTACGGTGGCGATCAGGACACATCTGTGGGACTTGGCAGTTCCACATTGCCATCTTACACCAACTTCTACAGTCACCACACTGGTCATCTGCGTGATGTCTCGGTACCCGACGCCTTTTGAGTCTGCTCATTTAGCAAGTGGTGTCCTTTTTTCCCTTCAACCCAAACCACGGTTGTTCTGTTCCCTTTGTTTTTGTCTTTGGCCGTATCATGCTTTTCGCATTCTGTCTTCTAGAAAGCTAAACCTGTCATATAAAACAGAATCTTTATAGAGTATCTTATTTTGTTTTCTAAGGATGCAAAGTGTTGTAAACCGACTGTCCAAGTTACTGAAACCTGGGGGAATGTTGTTATTTCGAGACTATGGAAGATATGACAAAACTCAGCTTCGCTTTAAAAAGGGTAATATTATATTTTGTTTGAGGGCTGTTACATTCATGTGTTTTAAAGAATGCCTTGTCTGTATTTCATGTCAAGTTTGTTTTTGTTTCAAAAGGAATACTAAAGTTTCTCTTTTCATGGTGACTTGTTTTATAGGGTGTTGTTTGTCTGAAAATTTTTATGTTCGAGGAGATGGTACCAGGGCATATTTCTTCACAAAAGGTATGTTTGCCTGCAAGAAGAAGTCATTAGCTGTTAGAATTCTCTTTGGTTACTAGCTACAAGAAGAAATTCAAAAGCCATAAAGTGAGGCTTTAATGATTGATTACACATCAGATATTTTCAGAATGTGGTGCCTGTCCCTGGTCGAGGTCAAAGCTTGAAAATGACCGGTAGCCCTTTTCCGGTTGGAGCTGTGTCAGAGTCACTTGTGTCATCCTCCTCACCCCAGTAACGGGAGGCTCTGTTTCAGTTTGGAGCTTCTGTTCGCCCAGATTAAGTAGGGAAATGAAGGTATGCCACAGCCAAAGGAGGGCATTTGATTTTATGAGATGACTTACTCTTGTGCCAGTTTTTTGTTGTAAAAATGCATTTTTGACAGTATCAGGTGAGTCCCGCACTTAAGGACTTTGTCCAAACTTATGTGAGTTTTTCTATAAATCAAGAAAAACTCAGAAAATAGGTACCATGCAAAATAATACAAGCTGCAGTCACTAGTTGGGCTATATCTGTTTCTGTCTGCTGGCTTAACCTGCGTCGACTTGGTGTATTCATGTGAAGAAGAAACCTAGGGGGCTTGCCAGCTTCCTTCACCACTTTGAGATGGAGACTGCTTTGGGGTGATGAATGAATCTTGTTCCACCATTCTACCAGTGTTCCACTGTTCCTTTCTGTGCTAGTCCAGGTCGACTAGAAAAACAAATTCATAAACACTCATATATGTATAAGGAAGAGCTTTCTATAAAAGAGAATTGTGTATTAAGAAAACATCCCAGCCCCGTCCAAATCAAGTCCAATATTAACCCATACGTCCGATACCAATCTGTAAATTTCTCTTCAGACTTACACAGCACATGTGGTGATGCTGAGGGCAGGAAGATCACAGGCCAGTGGGTGGAAAGTCTTGTGGATTCAGTGATGGTGAAAGCATCCCAGCGCTGGCTTGAGTCTCCACGTGGCTCCTCCAGCTCCAAGGCTCTGGCTGCCATCAGCATAGCTCCATGTGGCTTGTCAACAGGAATGTCTCAGAGGGAGACGAATCAGAGAGAGTGTATATCTGGCCTCTAGTGAGCTATTTATCTCCGTTTGTGCCTCCCAAATGAGGTCATCAAGCTGCGACCTGATTGACAGGCGAGACTCCACCTGTTCACAAGTTGACAGGAGATTATGTAACTGCCGCACTTAGAAACCGTCCCAGCCCGCCTCCAGTCACATATCCTATCTTTGATTGCCATTTTCCTCTCACAGGGGAAGTCCACACTATATTCTGCAAAGCTGGGCTAGATGAGAAGCAAAATCTGGTTGATCGTCGCTTACAAGTTAATAGGAAAAAGCAAGTGAAAATGCACCGAGTGTGGGTTCAAGGCAAATTCCAGAAACCATTGCACTCAAAATAGCTTCAACTTGTGTTTCTCACTTTCTTCGGGTACCACACTATATGCCGTGCCGAGATGAAAACCCAGATGATTGCACTCTTCACGGGCTCCTGCGAAGCTTTCGTCTCTTAAACGGCAAATCAGAAGAACGAAGAGAATATGTGTATCGTACTGTTTTATCATCACTGAACTCTTTTGTGGCTATCTCAAGTGCATGTTCATTGATTTGGAAATGTGCGCCAGATTCTCTCTGGGAGACATGATATGCCCAAGCTTGTTTTTGGTTTGTTTTAATATTTCTTTTAAGAATTCAGTTAAATTATGCTGCTACATGGCAGATAACTTTGGAAATCCCAACTTGTCATTTTTTAGAAGTGGAAAAAATTCCTCTGCTTTGTTTACATATTGGGCTTAGTAAGTCAGCTCACAAATATAGTCAACCTGTTCTCCATTGCCTTCTGACAGCAGGGAGGCAGCATGCCTTGATTCTAGGGAAAGGCTGAACCAAGCCAGACCATAGTATGTTATTTTTTGTTTATTGTTTATCTGTTTTCCCCGAGGCTTTTTTTTTTTAAGCTCAGAGGCTAATGTCTAGAATGTAATTTTAGTTTCTTTTTCTTTTCCTAAAATTGAAGAGTGTGGCCTATGCTAATATTATCTCCCAGCTATTCTTAGATGTACAAGTTGTTCCAGGCTCTCTTTAAGACCACTGTCATACCCAAGAAAATGCTAAAATTGTACCAGTTAAAATGCATTTATCATCTTGCCTCAAGAGTCTTATTTGTTGGCTTGAAAGTTATACTATACATAAATGGGCTTTCTAAGACTGGACTTAATTCAATACGCAAACAGTTCCTGAGCTCTTACACTGTGCTGAATTATACAGAATCGTAAAATAAAGGCCCAATCTCTAACTTCAGGGAGCATGCATAAGGTCTAGCTGGCCAGGCAAAATATGTATACCCCATAAATTTAAATTATAATCTCAAATAATACACAGCAAGGATAAAAGGCCTTATGACCAAAAGTGGGGACTTTGAGTATAAGCCACGGAGATATAAGACAAGTGAGCAATCTCTTGAAAGGATGGCCGTTGGAGTACTTCAGTCTCAACTTTCTCTTTTGTTTGAATTCACTTCCAATTTGATTTGCTGAAATTATATGATTGGTCCAACTTGGGTCATGGATTCTCTTGACAGGCAGGGACTGCTTAACAGATATCGCTACCAGAATGTATGGAATGGAGGAGAAGTTGTTCAAAAGGAAATCAAGACACTGTCATCAAAAAGAGAGGTGGAGATGGCGCCCTGTCACAAGCAAGACTTCTTAAAGATAACCAGCTGCCATCAAGTCCATTCTAAGTGCTAGCAACCCCGTGCACGTTCAGAGTAGAAATGCACTCCAGAGGACTCTCAGTGATGGTTAGCAGTGCAGTAGTGAGAGTACTTCCAGACATAGAAGTCAGTCCATTTGTGGAAAGACATGGAGAAGAACCTGAAGGCGAGTCTCAAGCTGATCCTTGAATGTACATTCTCAGAAGATAATGAGAAGACAAATCTTCTTGGAGTGGGAGATTCATGCTGAGAAATATGGGGAGTGGTCAGCTTTGAATGGCAGCTACGGTGTTGAGTTATCAGCTCTAGACTAGAGCCATCTGAGGTGTGTTTGCTTATTTCTGTTTTAACCTAGCCATGACATGCTAGGAATGTACTTAGACTGATTTATAAGTAGTGCGGGATGGAATGGAGTCAGAAGGAAGTCAGTGGTAAGGGAGACCACATAATGGCTTCTGTAATAATTCGCTTTGGTGGCAAGTCCTCAGAAACACAGTATCAAGGTTTCTGTTCACACATGCCTAAGTCAGTCAGTGTCTAAGTTAATTTTTTTCTGAGACTCTCAGCTCAGTTATATCTCATAATTAAAGTATACATTTAAAAGCCAAATTAGTGATAAAAAGATTATATACAACAAGGACAGTTTAGATACGTTACGTTGCTATGGGAACCCCAGCACATCTTGTGGCTTGATTTTAAAATCATGGCCCAAGGTAGTTTTAAAAACAACAGAAGGTAAAATTATTCTCACATCCACACACATGTAAATTGTACTGTCTCTCTTAGTCCTAAATAGCAAATTCAAAGCCAGCCTCTTGAGTGGCACAGCAAAATTCAGCTTTATGTATTACAGCATGTAAGTTAACCTTTAGAAACTTCCAAAATACATGAACCAAATTTGGACTGTGAGACACAAACTGGGCTCTTTTGGACCCAGCCCAGTATAGCCTCCCCGTTCACCGTGGCTGTGCAGTTGGGCCATTCCCCCCAATGTGTTCTGCTTCTCCAAGCAGTCTTTGCTGTCTTAGCTACCTGAATCAACTCCCTCCTCCCTGCTGACTTGCTACTCACTTACCACTCCCTACTGACTTGCAGGGGTGGGAGTGAATGTAGACTTTGGCAGAAAAAGAAAAGAGCAAGACCTGGTTTGGAATTTTCCCTATAGGTTTTTAAACCATCGTGAAGCATTTGAAATGTTTTTGCTTGGACATTAGTTTGCAATGTTTGATAACTGCATGAAACTCTGATTTTCTCCTCATATCCAAAAGGCTAGGGCCAGAGTTTGATGTTTAAAAATTCCTCTTCTGAGGGAGTTAAATTTCAAAAGGACTGGATTCTTTCTAACAGAAAAAGGCTTAGCTTCATCTCCTTATGAGACAGAAACAATGAAATATCATTTATTAAAAACACACCCACCATTTCCTCCAATTTCCCAAAGTTCCCTTTTGAACATTGTTCAGCTGTGACATTTCTCACACGCAGAGAACCATTTCTGAAGGTGGTAAGAAAAGCAAGATAACAGTTTCTCTTTAGAAAAGTTTTGCATTCAGGATGACACATTGGTCGTGTTGAAATCCCCCAGTGAATGTTGACTTCTGAGAACTTACTTGCCTTACTTCTCTCTGCTCCATATGCTGTCTTTAAATGGTGAACGTATCCTGGCCCTGCCATTACATAATCTAAATAGTCCTGTACACCACTCTATAGGAAAACTCCCCCTTGTGCAGGTTGCAGGCCTCCTGGGGGTAAAACACAGAACTTTCTATCTGAAGCATTTGGACTGTTAAACTTCAGGTAAGTTAAAGTAAAGCCCTGCCCCAAAGCTCCCTGCTGTATTCCAATGGTTTTCCACCTCATCAAAGCCCAAGTCCTGAAGCTTGAATATATCACGCATTGTGGCTCTTAATTGGTTTTCATGTTTATTATGCTCCTCACAAGTGCAGATAACTTCACATTTGCATCTCTAATAGGACTCTCTTTCAAAGCCTCTGCTCCTTCTGCTTCCTGCCTTTATTAGTCATCAGTAGACTACATGTTGCTGTGGTATTTCCCCCACTTGTGAAAGGGCAGTGTACACTCGACAGCACTGCATGTATGTACGGCACCTTCAGCAACCAGGCAGCGTGCGCAGTAAGTACCCTGGCCAGCCTGAGGGTACTTAGTCAGTGGTCCGTGAGGCTACATGAGACAAAGGCGGTGTGAGGCCCTGGAAAAGGCATTGCCTCTGAGCCACCCTGGAAGCAGGGGTCCCCATGCGGGGAGTCACTCAGCTACTCTGAATGTCACTGTCTTATATACTACACATGCCACTTCACTTACTCTTCAAACCCCTGCGAATTCATTTTTATTATAGCCATCAAACAGATGAGATGGGGGTCTGAGATGATAGAGACCTTGCTCAGGATATCACAGCAAGGATGTGCCAGAGAGAGAATTCAGACCCCAAACTGTCTTCACTTCCCCAACCTCTTCTCTCATCCTCAATGGGCTTTACATCTATAGGCTCAGCTGCAACTAGGAGTGGGGAAAGGGAGTTCCTGGCTCCAGCAGAGAATTCCAGCAATGGGTGGGAGTTTGGATCAGACCACCTCCAAAATTAAGGCCTGGTCTGGATCCAGGGACTGTGCAAACGAACTAGGTTGTGGTTGGCCGCCTTGTCAATGGGCGGAAAGGAGCGGAGGGGGATGACAAAGCAGGACAAGCTTCCATCAGTCCCTCTCAGTCTTCCCAGGCCCTCCCCCTCGGTGGCAGACTTCCTGGTGCTTCGGCGCCCGGCGCTCATCACTGGCATATTCCTCACTTACAGAGTGAAAGAAACAACAACAAAAAGCATTCTGTGCTGCAAGGGGCTGCGGGCTGCGGGGAGGCCCTTAAAATGTCTTCAAAGGGATTCAGCGCTGGCACAATCTAAAATATATGAACTCAGGCGGTGTCAATAATAAAATGTGAGTGCAAACATCTTTCTTTAAAACATCATGTGTGCATTAATGCCACATTAATGCCACTTCAAGCATGAAATGTTGAGCATTTCTTGGAATATGGTTTGGGATTTGGGAAGCACAAAGGTACCTGTAAGATGGCTGTGGTGTAGCTATAAATAAAAATAGAAGTAAAATAACAGTTGCATCTTCATGTATAATGAATCTTCTACTGTGGCCTCAAAGCTGTAGAGAAGAGAGGGCTGCCAAAATCTGCCTTGCATTAGCATATGCCTTAAATGACAGGGAAGAGGTGTTGAAGATAAAATTACTTTTCCCTCGGAGTATGAATCAGCAACATGCAGCAACAAGCAAGTACTAATAGTTCTGTGAGTGAGTGGCCATGGAGGGGCAGAAAGACAGCCACCCTCCAAGGACAAAGGCAGTGTGCACCTGCAGGGGAGACTACAGACCCCACAGCACCATCCGGAGTTGTCTAAGAGCTCAGAGACCCCCAACTCTGTCAAAGCCCGGTTGGTATGAGGGGAAGGGAACACAGAAGAACCTCGAAGACCACCACCCCACCTCACCTGTCCCTGGAGCTGGACAGAGGCAGAGGACACGTCACCTCTACTGGTCCAAGAGTTAAAAAGGGCCCAGCTTGATTCCACAGTATATGATTCCAACCACTTAACCTTTAGTGAGGAGCAGCCAGAGGCCTGCGAAGGAATAAATACATGCTAACATTACATAGAGGTGGAAGGGCAAGCAATACAGCAGGAACACAGTGACTTCAAATCATGTCCAGTTAGCTATGTCCTTGGCATCCCAGTGATCTGCCCCTTTATCTTGGGTTTTCCTCGCAGGGCTACACTCAGGAGAGCTGGGCCCTCGAGCCAATGTGCTTTTCTCTCTGATGTTGCCTGCCCAAGAGTGCCATTGGGTCCCTCCTCAGAGGGCCTGTGCACCGCCTCTCCTAGTTGGCTTCATAAGACTCTTGTGATGCTTATGAAAATTTCTTTGGCAACGTTTCCGACCCATTGCCCCTTTAGATGACAATTCCTGGTTTATGGCACACAAGGCAGAAATCTTGTTTCAACTTTTTTCTTCTCAGTTAATTCACACGTATCAAGTATGGGAGGTTTTGAGAACCCTGGAGAAGGTTGATCACCCTTTGGGTCCTTGGATTTGTCGCATTGGGAAAAACGCTAAGCCTGCCGGGATTACCTCAAGTGAGTGGCCAGGTGCTGTGCGATCCATTGCCTTCGTTGTTCTTTCTGGCATGCCACAGACCAAGCACAAGCCACAGGGAGCCATCACTGCTCCTTTGCTCCCACTTGCCTCCAGTAAGGAGCGTCTCCCGAGGCTGGCATGGAGAGCAGGGAACAGCCTCCTTTGTTGCTCTTGCTCCCCCGGTGAGCCGAGCCCAAGTCCCTCAAGTGCATTTGGAACTTCCACTGACAATCACCTGCAAGAGAATGGCTGAACGTGCCTGCGTCGCATGCCACATTGAA